CAGCCTCATGCGGGTAGGGACCGGTCTAGTTTAGCTCATCATTATACTCCCAGCACCTAGAATTGTGCCTGGCACATTGCAAACCAAAAACCAAATCCATTGCCATTGAAGTGATTCAGATTCATGGTGACCCCATGTGTTAGAAAGAAGAATGTTCCATAGGGTTTTCTTGGCTGTAATCTTTATGGAAGCAGATTGCCAGGCCTTTCTTCCAAGGTGCTGCTGGATGTGTTTGAACCACCAACCTTTTCAGTTAGTAGCTGAGTGCAAACTATTTGTGCCACTAGGGACCTGGTGATCCAAGCCTGTGATCATCGAGTCGATTCTGACCCATAGCGACCCTAGAGGACAGAGTAGAACTGCCTCATAGGGTTTCCAAGGAGCAGCTGGTGGATTTGAACTGCCAGTCTTTTGGTTAGCAGCCGTATCATTCAACCACTGTGCCACCAGGGCTCCTGGCATGTACTAGGTCCTCAAAAATATTTGTGGAAAGGAGGCATGAAGGAAAGATAATCTTGAGAGATTCATGAGACCTTCCTTCCCCCACGCTGTCCCTTCCTTTTCTTACCTTCTTTCCCTCCCTTCTTACCTTTTTTCTTTCAAGAAATTTTTTCCTGTGTGGGTGCTAGGGATACAAGATGAGTCTGATGAATTGGCCTTGGCCCTGACCATCAGATGGCCAAGCCTGCAGGAGGCTCCCACTGCCCGATGGCAGAAGGTTTCCGGGCTCACCTGCTCAAGTCTGAGAACAATGGAAATCTATACACTGAAGAAGCCTCCAAGATGACTGATCCACAGTCCTCATTCAGAACCTGACCTGCAGGATGCTTTTAAAAATACCCTTCTCCGTTTCTTTTAGGAGGCAGGCAGAGGGAAAAATAAATTTAAATTTGAAATAAGAAAAATTTAAAATGTCAGCCTTCTAGGGGATGTCATGGGTTTGGCAGACTCGGTCTCTTTGTCCTACACTTTCTGTGGCACAAACACAGTCTTGTGAGTGGGGACTGGTGCCCAGACTGAGACTCAGGGGCCAAGCACCATCTTTGGGTAATGGAGAAGGATCCGATGACATTCGAAATAGGGACTTACTTATACACCAGGAAAGGGGCTTCGTACAGAACGGAAAGATCTTTCCCCAGGGGCAATTCCAAAAGGACTTTCTGCTCAGTCTTCCATTAAAGGGAAATTTCAATTGCCCAGATCAGCCTGTTTCCAGAGCATTCCAGCTGATCAAGCTTGGCTCACTTAAGCCAAACCTAAACTTGCAGAGCTGGTAAATGAAAGCTGATGGTTAGACAAGTTCTGAGCTGCCCCCAAGGAGTTCCTGTGGCAAGCTTCCCGAAACACTTCAGACTAGATTCTGGTCCAAAGGCTTGGGTTTCTAACTTACTCTTCTCAGTGGGCAGTGGCATAAAGCCCATTATAACTCTGTAAGTCGTTAACATTTGGCTTTTATTTAAAAGGTACTTCTTTCACTGAGTCACTATCATGATTCCAGTTGAGTCGATTCAGACTCATGGTGAGTCCCTGGGTGGTGTGCTTGGTGTTCAACAAAACGTTGGTGATTCGAGTCCACTCAGAAGTGCCTCAGAAGAAAGGCCTGGTGATCAACTTCCGAGAAATAAACCATCAAAAACTCTATAGAGCACAGTTCTACTCTGACACACATGGGTTACCACTATCATGATAGTCACCACATTTTGTCTAAGACAGGGATCGACAAACATTTTCTGCAAAAGGCCGGATAGCAAACATTTAGCTTTGTGGGCCATAACTATTCAACTCTGCCATTGTAACATGAAAGCAGCCACAGATAATGCATCAATGAATGTGCATGGCCATGTCCCAATAAAATTTACTTATGAATACTAAAATTATAATTTCATATAGTACGACACAGAACAGTCTTCTTTTGTGTTTTTTTAAACTGTTTGAAAACGTAAAAACCTTTCTTGGCTTGCGGGCTGTGCAAGAACAGATGGTGGGCTGAATTTGGTCCGTGGGCCATAGTTTGCTGACTCTGTGTAAGAGGAATCTGGATGTGCCTTTAAAAAAGAAAGAAGGAAGGGTGTGTCTTAGGTATCTAGTGCTGCTATAACAGAAATACCACAAGTGGATGGCTTTAACAAACAGAAGTTTATTCTCTTACAGTCTAGGAGGCTAGGAGTCCAAATTCAGGGTGTCAGCTCCAGGGGAAGGCTTTCTCTCTGTTGGCTCTGGGGGAAGGTCCTTGTCATCAATCTTCCCCTGGTCTAGGAGCTTCTCAGCGCAGGAACCCTGGGTCCAAAGGAGGCACTCTGCTCCCAGTGTTGCTCCTTGGTGGTATGTGGTCCCCCTGTCTCTCAGCTTGCTTCTCTCTTTTATAGCTCAAAAGACATTGACTTCAGACACAACCTAATCTTGTAGAATTGAGTCCTGCCTCATTAACATAACTGCCTCTAGTCTTGCCTCATTAACATCATAGAGGTAGGATTTACAACACATAGGAAAATCACATCAGATGACAAAATGGTGGATAATCAGACCAATACTGGGAATCATGGCCTAGCCAAGTTGACAGATATTTTGGGTGGATACAATTCAATCCATAACAGGGAGGGAGGAAGGGAGAGGGGAGGACAGAGTTCTCCAAATTTCGAGCTATCCCTCAAGGGGGAATTCTGCCCTAGGAGACAATGAACTGTGGTTCACCAGAGTGCTCAGTAGACTTGGGACAACCACCAGAACTGGAAGCTATCTGTTTGGCTTCTTCCCCAAGGCAGACCCTGAGACAAGGATTTGGAATTTGGTCCTGAGACCAACTGGGGAAGTGAGACAAGGAGGGTGTGTTAACGAGTGGGTTACTGCTATGACAACTGGGGTTCAAGCCTCTAGGGACCTTCTGAGTGACTGTGTAGAGTACACCTCAGAATTGTCTCGGTGGAAGGGTGAAGATGTTGGGGTATTCATCCACCAACTCCTGGCCTCACTGCAGGAGGGTCCTTTCTGAGGCTGTCTCTCAGGCACTTCCAGCCCAGCATGCTCTGTGGCCATAGAATGTCCTCAGGCAGAAAGATCCAGGAAGCCACTGGCCTGGATGGGAACTGTGTGCAGATGACCTCTGGGGTGGGCTGTGGTAATAGAGGCAGGGTGCAGACATCATCTGCTCTTGGAGGATCCTATAACAGAGAGGTAGCTTATCTAAAAGATCTTTAAGGTTTGCTCCAGTCCTGAGAAAGAATTCTCGCCTTCCATGTGGGATACCGGGATTCCATTCCCAGCAATGCACCATTTGTCAGTGGAGGCTTGTGTACTGCTATGATGCCTACCAGGTTTCAGTGGAGCTTCCAGACTAAAACAGACTAGGAAGAAAGGCCTGGTGATCTACTTCTGAAAATCAGCCAATGAAAACCCTGTGGATCACAAGGGTCAATCTGCAAGCAATCTTGGGATTGGTGCAGAACCAGGCAACATTTCATTCTGCTGTGTGTGGGGTCACCATTGAGTTGGGGGCCGACTCGACCACAGCTAACAACAACCACAACAACGATAGTCTAGTGACTACACTGACTCCTTTAAACAGACCCCCCACCCAATGCTTTTGAATTGCTTTCTGCCTCAGTCCTGCACTGGCTCCCCTATCCCTGCTCACTCCATACTCCCCATTCTGCTTCTTCTCTGCCTGTTTTCCAGCTTTATTTTCTTAGGTCACATGCAGCCCCACTTCCCCCAGGGAGGCCTGTCTTCTCTCTATCAGGATCTGGACACCCTTTCAGGCTCCCCTGCTTGTGTCTCTCCTGGTCCCCAGGGCTCCATGCCCCAGATTGTGCCCCAAAAGCAGTATCTCTGCTAGACTCATCCATTCCCTGGGGACAAACCCAACACAGCCTTTGTCCATTTAAGTGCTTTTAAAGGGCATGACCCTCGGGCTAAGTCTTTACTTAGCACTTAAGTAATCAATCACCACTAAACAACGAATATCTACTATCCTTTCGAAAAAGTATTGACTATGTGTCTAGCCTTGTGCTAAATGCTCCCTGTTTGTCATCTATAATCCTTACAGGCATCCCGAGAGGGAGTGCTTATTATTCCCATTTAACAGATGGGCTTACGCAGAGCCCAAGGTCAAGGGGTTAGTAAGTAGTACCAGAGCTAGAGGATTCAAACCCAGATCTATTTCCAAAGTCCAAGTTCTTTCTTTCTTAAATTCTTAAGTCACGTTTGACACATATATAATAATATATGTAATATACAAGTAAGTTACAAAGTGCAATAATGAAATGAACACCCATGAACCGACACAACCAGACATCTGCTTGCCTAGCGCTTGTTCTATCCCTTTACCTCCTCCCGTAGAGGTTATTGTGGGGCTTTGGTGGCGCAGTGGTTAAGCCCTCAGCTGCCAACTGAAAGGTCGGAGGTTCTAACCCACCAGCCGCTCTGCAGGAGAAAGATGTGGCATTCTGCTTCTGTAAAGATGACAGCCTTGGAAGCCCTATGGGGCAGTTCTACTCTGTCTTTTAGGGTCACTATGCATTGGAATCGACTCAATGACAATGAGTTTTGGTTTTGCAGAGGTTACCGCTATGATTAAATTTTGCGTTTATCAATACATTCTTTTTTTTTTTTATTGTGCTTTAGGTGAAAGTTAACAGCTCAGGTTAATTTCTCATTCAAAAATTTATACACGTATTGTTTTGCAACATTGGTTGCAATCTCCACAATGTGACAGCATGCTCCCCCTTTCTACACCAGCTTTCTTTGCGTCCATTTGTCCAGTGCCTGTCCCTTCCTGTTCTTTTAAAATTACCTAATTTAATCAATATATATTCTTTCTTTAAAATTGTGCTTTAGGTGAAAGTTTATAGAGCAAATTCGTTTCTCATCAAACAGTTAATACACAAACCATTTTGTGACATTCTTTGCCAACCCCTGAATGTGTCAACACTCTCCCCTCCTCCACCTCGGTTTCCCTTTTCCCATTAGCCTAGTTTTCTTGTCCCGTCCTGCCTTCTCGTCTTAAAAATATGGAACACTTCACAAATTTGCGTGTCATCCTTGTGTCTGGGCCATGCTAATCTTCTCTGTATCGTTCTAGTTTTAGTCTATGTACTGCTGAAGTGAGCACTCAATATGTATTCTTAAAAACGTATTGTTTATTCCTACTTTTTAATGACCTCTTAAAAAATGATATCACAGTATATGTCGTCTTCTGCAGACTGTTTCTTTTTTTTTTTTTCACTCAGCATGACATTTCTTAGAGTCATCCATGTCACTGTGCGGGCTATACACAAACCAAACCCCTTACCATTGACTCGATTCTGATTCATAGAGACCCTATAGGACAAAGTAGAGCTGCCCTATAGGGTTTCCAAGGAGTGGCTGGTGGATTCAAACTGCTGACCTTTTGGTTAGCAGCCAAGCTCTGAACCACTGGACCACCAGGGCTCAGTGCATCCATTTCCACTGCTTTATACTATTCTATTGAGTAAATATATCATAATTTCTAATGGTTTTGTTTGCTTAATTTTGAAATTATAAACTACAAGTCCATTGTAGTAGATGGTATTATTTTTCAGAAATATTTGCTCCCTCTTGCCGGGACAGGTTTATACTGTCCCTCCCAAGGATGGCAGGTTTGGCCATGAAACTTTCTGTGGTCAATTACAGGTGGACAGATGTGTATCACTGCTGAACAGAGCTTTTAGAACCAGCACATGATTTGCCTTGTTCTCTTTTTCCCAGCAATGTCCTAGATAAAGGCTTTTCCATCGGGCTAGGTCCTGGAGTGAAGATGACACAGAGCAGAGCCACCACTGGGCTGCAATGGACATGTGTATCTGTGAGAAATAAACCCTTGTTGTAAGCCACTGAGATTCTGGGGTCATTTGTTACTGCAGCATATCCAGTCTGGTCCTAACTGATACATCATGCTCTTTGTACCACACCACCGTGATTTCCAGTGTAGGTGTCAGAGGGAGTGACCACTTTCCTGGGAAACTGAATTAATCAGCAATGCATAAAACCACATACAACAGGTTAAAACAAAACCAAACCCGTTGCAGGCAAGTTGATTCTGATTCATAATGACCCCATGTGTTACTACTAAGTAGAACTGCTCCATGGGGTTTTCTTGGCTATAATCTTGATGGAAGCAGATTATCAGGCCTTTCTTCCACGGTGCCAACCTTCAGGGTAGTAGTTGAGCACAGACTGCTTGTGCCTCCCCGGGACCTTTTCAGCAGGTTAAATAGGGTTAAGATCACCCCCTTCCAGTGTGTGCATTGAGAGTGATTAATTCATTAACAACTAGAAAGTACTTTGAAGATAATAAGCATTTGGAGGGCCGGTTGGCATCTCCTACCTGACTTCTAGGGTCCCTCACTTCCTCTCTCCATGCTGTAGGCCTTTGAAGTCACTCCCAGGCAGAGAGGGCCCAGGAGAGAGTGGGGGCCAGTCAGGAGCCTCTTCAGCCCTGGGACCCCAGAGCTGGAAAGGCCTGCTGATGTGTTGAAAGAAAAAATGTAAGCAGGAGAGGCAAGAATGTGCTCAAACTTCAAGACTCAAAAGAGAGGAAAGAAGCAAGTCTGGGCGCAGGCCTTTGTGCCTGAAGCCCCTGGGCTGGGAGCTTTGAAAGCCCCGCTCTGGGGAGGCAGGTTCACCGGGGAATTCACAATGGTGCTCACCAAGCTTGAAGAGGACAGGAATGTCCCCCATCTGTTAGCTTTCCTTTCTCCTTAAAGCAATGGCAACCAGGAAGGACATACACTGCTCCTGCTGCCTTGTGCTTCCCCATCCTCACTTCTCGTTGAGAGAGACTGGCAGGAGACAGGCCCATTTGGGGCCATTTCTAATCCTTCTCACTTTTTCCCCCACTTTCTTATGTGTTCCCAGTTCTATCTAGGTCCCCTTAACTACGGCCATCCGCACAGCAAACAGATTCACATACACATAGACACCCACCACGATGAAACCATACTGAGAGGGAGAGGGGCACAAGAAATTAATCCTTCCTAATGATAAAGATCCTTATGGAGACACGCAAGGAAGAGACACAACACATTTCATTCTAATTAGGCCCGGAAGCTCACTACTGGGAGCAGGGAAAGAAAGTGATCAAGTGGGTGCACCCTGGAAAACGCCTCCTCTATGGTTCCCTGGGAGCACGACAGCAGGAGAAACACACCCACAAGGCCGGTGGTTCCCAAACTGGGGTTCCTTGTGGTAGTCTCGGGGGATGAGGAATGCCGGGAGGTCTGTGAGTTTTTTCCAGTAATTGAAAAAAATGATTAATGGAAATCATTATTTTATCTCTGACAACCCTGCACAGGCAAACTGAAACTGTCAAGTTTCTTTATTTAGGGTTGGAGTTCCAATAGCTCAGTGGTAACACTAGCTAGCTTACTGCAAGCGGAAGGTCTAACTGCTTGCTGATAACAGTGTAAGAATTCCAGGGATTGCCCTGGCAGCCCACGATACATCGGGGATCAGGGTATTCATATGGAATGGGGCCTCAGCTGCTTCATGGGGCTTCTATAGCACGGATAACCGTATCTGTGCTTCATTGCACCAGGAAAAAAGAATACAGCATTGTTTTGTCCGTTTAGGGAAAAATCTTTCAAACATGGGGTTGGTGGGGGGTTAAATAACAAAAAGGTCTTTGCAGTTAAGCAAAAGAAGGGAGGAAAGGGGAATTAGCATTTATTGATCAAGTACTAATAACAAGCACTATCCTAAGTGCAATAAATAAATGTTGTTATTGGGTGCTGTCGAGTCGATGCCAACTCATACCGACCCCATAGTGACAGAAGAGAACTGCCCTAAAGGGTTTTCTTGGCTGTAATCTTTACGGAAGCAGATCACCAGGTCTTCCTCCTGTGGAGCCGCTGGGAGGGTTTGAACCACCAATCTTTTGGTTAGTAGCAGAGTGCTTAACCATTGTGCCAGCAGGGCTCCTTCCTAAATAGTTTATCTCATTTAATCCCTATAACCACACTGGGTGGGGGGGTACCTTTTATTCATTCATTCGGCAGGTATTTCTGGGCACCTACGTGGAACCAGGCATTTTTCAACATGTTGGAAATACAGCAGTGGACAAAACAAAGTCAGCTGTTCTCAATGGGGCCCATTTTGCCTCCTGGGGGACATATGGCAATGGAGCCTTTATTAGTTGTTGTGACCAGAGGGAGTGCTACTGGCATGTAGTAGGTAGAGGCCAGGGATGCTACTAAATGTCCTGCAGTGCACAGGACAGCTCCTCATGGCAAAGAATAAGTATCATCCATCCCTACTCCATTTTAGTGCAAAAGACAGGCATTAAGCAAATGTGCATAAATATGTGGTTACCTTTTGATCAACACTAAGAAGGAAAATAAAGGGCAAAGTGATGGAGTCTATGGGGGGGGGGACCTGATTTATTTATTTTTTATTGTAATTTAGATGAAGGTTTACAGAACAAATAGTTTCTCATTAAACAGCACACATACCGTTTTATGACATTGGTTAACAACCCCATGACATGTCAATAGTGTCCCTTCTCAGCCTTGGTTTCCCTATTACCAGATTTCCTGTCCCCTCCTGCCTTCTAGTCCTTGTCCCTGGACTGTTGTGCCCCATTAGTCTCGTTTTGTTTATGGGGCTGTCTAATCTTTGGCTGAACGGTGAACCTCAGGAGCATTACTGAGCTAAAAGGGTGTCCGGTGGCCATACTCTCAGGGTTTCTCCAGTCTCTGTCAGGCCAGTAAATCTGGTCTTTTTTTGTGAGTTAGAATTTTGTTCTACATTTTTCTCCAGCTCTGTCCCAGACCCTCTGCTGTGATCCCGGTCAGAGCAGTCAGTGGTGGTAGCCGGGCACTATCTAGCTGTACTGGACTCAGTCTGGTGGAGGCCGTGGTAGTTGTGGTCCATTAGCCCTTTGGACTAATCTTTTCCTTGTGTCTTGTTTTCTTCATTCTCCCTTGCTCCTGAAGGGGAGAGAGCAGTGGAGTATCTTAGATGGCTGCTCACAGGCTTTTAAGACCCCAGACGCTACTCACCAAGGTAGAATGTAGAACATTTTCTTTATAAACTGTGTTATGCCAATTGAGCTAGATGTTCCCCAAGACCATGGGGACCTGATGTAGATTGGGGGAATCAGAGAATACTTCTCTGGGGAAGTGGGTACACTTAAAACCTATAGCCATCGATTGGATTCCGACTCATAGTGACCCTGTAGGATAGAGTAGAACTTTCCTATAGGGTTTCCAATGCTGTAAATCTTTAAGGAAACAAATTGCTGTATCTTTCTCCTGCAGAGCAGCTGGTGGGTTCAAACTGCAAACCTTTTGGTTAGCAGACGAGCGCTTAACCGCTATACCACCAGGTCCCCCTAAATGATGGTAGGAGTCAACCAGGTGGAGAGAAAGGAAGAGCGTTCTTGGCAATGAACTCAGCAGGTGCAAAAGTCCTGAGGCAGAAAGCACTCAGAGCCTTGGAGAATGTGGCAGGAAGCCAGAGTGGCTGGGAGAGGCTGGTGATGGGAGGGCGTGGGAGTGCCCTTCCCCAGGCCAAACTCCTGGGTGAATGCAAGCTACAAAGCAGTGATTATCTCCTCATTTTCAGGTTAATGAAGGAGAACTTGGAGGTAACCTTATTTTGTTGATTCTTGATTTCTTGTTAAAATGTTTTTTTGGAGAAGATTCCCCTAATGACTCGATATCAGTGGATAATAGCTCCCTCCCAGGCATTTTCTCGAGGACAAAAATGTCCTCCTTTCCCTGGCCGGCTCCCTCTGTAAGCACGGCTTTATGTTGCATGCTAAAATGGTACTTGGTCTCAGTTGGTGGCTAAGGTCCACGCTGCCCCACTGGTTGGCGGGCCTCTTCAACCGCCATTGCTCCCACTGAGAATCATATTTCTCCTTTGCCTTTTTGAGGCACCCAGTTGCTGTTGAGTTGATCCTGACTCGTGATGACATCATGTGTGTCAGAGTAGAACTGTGCTCCATAGGGTTTTCAATGGCTGATTGTTTGGAAGTAGATCACCAGGCCTTTCTTCTGAGGCTCCTCTGGGTGGGCTTGAACCTCCAACCTTTCGGTTAGCAGCTGAGCATATTAACCATTTGCCCTTCCCAGGGACTCCTTTTTGAAG